ACGAATTTACGAATGGTAAGCACTGAATTGCAGTGTCAGGTGAAAAAAAAAGGGTAAATAACGCAGCTGAATATATTTTTATATTTGTTTTGATATTAATAAAGGGGAAGCATATCTCTCAGTTCTTCTTTGATAGGAATCTCTTCAACTTTTTTGAGTTTGAATTTTAGTTGAATATAATTAATTATAATAAAATTAATTAATATAATTAATTTTAATTATAATTGATTGTATTATATTATAATTATGTTTAAATATTGTTTCTTTGAATTTAATTTTAACATAATTGAAAATGTTTAAATGATTTAATTTGAGTCAGTTTTAAATGCACAAATTACCATAAAAGACATGAGCTTTTTAGTGTAAATATCAATAAAGTTGCATATAATATTATTAAATCCTTTTTCATATATTTAACAAATAAATATATAATAATGATTCATTTAATATTTAAATTGCATTATATTGTAATGTTCGGTTGGCATAAAAACAAAAGTAAAAAAAAATATTAAATACTAGAAAAAACATTAAGAGGGAAAATATATAAAAACGAATCTCCCAATATATAATTAAAAAAATAGTTTGGCAGTATGATAAAGGGGAAAATGTATATAAGTATTTACACTTTACGGATCAAACAAATAGCAATTATCAATAGAGAGGACTTCGCATGCATTCATGTAAGGAAAAATATATGGAGGTGCTTCACTTCAAAATTCACAAGCCAAACATAGGGGTATATTTGAATTGTTCAAATTTTTTACATACAATTGATTCAGCAAAAGATATAATTAATACGCAAATGTAGGTGTGCTGTCAGCTTTTTTAAAAATGGAGTTCAAAGTCCAAAATCGATTAACAAACAAGAGAGGGTATTGGGGTCCTTTTAAAAAAAAAAAATAGAAAACTATGGTTTTGTGGGTTTAGGATCGATTATTCAATCAATCCAAACACACATTTAGTTGGCAAAATATCAAACTGTAACTTCTACCCAAAATAATGTCGTTACTTTAGGTGGGAGGGGAGCCAGGACGCCAGCTGAATCACTGGTTTTTTTTTTTTTTGGTCAAAGAAAAACTGGGCCATTTTAATAGAGGCAACGCAAGAACCGAAAAATATTTAGTATCCATTTGAATTTTAGTTAGGTATAATAAATTATAAAAATAATTGATTAAATGATAGATTTTAATTATAATTAATTATGTTATAAAGTAATCTATTTGCATACCATTTTTTTAAAATTAATTTTGACAGAATTAAAGATGTTTAGATAATTTAATCAGAATTAATTTTAGCTATATAAATTATTATAAATGACATTGATTTTCAAAATTCAATTATTAATATATTCGTATATAATATTATTAAATTTGTTAAATTTTATTTAAGAAGTAAAATATATTATTTAAATTACATGTCTAATTATTTATAAAAATTTACGCAAATAAATAACTCAATATATTTTAGTTCAAATAAATTTAATAAAAGAAAAATATTTAATTCTTAAATATCAAACATTAATTTTATAAAAACTAATAAAAATGATAATATATAAATTAATCTCTAATGATATTATAATATGAGCCATATTTGACGAAGACCTTAAGCACCGCCTTAAAATTTTGACAATATAGAAAATGTAGCAATGTCACAAATGATGCAAAATCTCTCTCTCTAGATTTTTGCAACAATCTTTGTCATGACTCTAAATTTTAAATTAATTTTTTTCTACTAATTAATGTTTTATTTGAATTAGTCTTATAATAAGTGCTGAGTGAAGTGTGATGATTGACAGGAACTTATGCTAATAACTTTTTTAAGGATACAAAGTTTGAATTTTATTTAAAAAAAAAGAGAAGAAAAGAGAGTTTAGTTTTATTTTTATTAAATTATGTATTTTTTTGCAATTTTTTCTTGAATTTTTTTTTTGTAATTTTCTCCAATGCTTTTTTGTTAGCTTTTCGACAAAAGCTCGGATTCCCAGCTTCTGGAAAAAATCAATTTTTGGCCTAAAAATAATTAACCTATTTTATAACTGTTTGGATAATTTTGGTTTTTAATCAATTTTTTCTTCAAATAATTGATTAAAACCGCTATCCAAACACACTAAGTAGGTGGTCTATTGGTTCCGGCTCAAGAGACAGGACCACCGGGCCTAATTTTGCGCCACGTCTTTTTCTTTCCTTTTCTCTTTCCTTTTTCAAGGTTATTCAAACGTATTTGAAATGGGTTGAACGGGGCAAATTAACTTTCATGCTATATAAAAAAAATTTATTTCTCACAATACTACACTTTCAATAATATTTATTTAAATACTATAAATTTAAAAATTAGCCTGATTAGTACCGAGTTTCACTTTTTTTTTTTGTCAAAAACGTACATAGAACTTGACTTCTATCAAGCCAAGTTTTATTTAACATAAAAACAAACATCTGTCCCATCATCTCTCTCTTCAGTCAATTTTTTTTTATCAGATATAGAACTTGGCTTCTATCAAGTCAAGTTCTATTTAATTTTAAAAAAATTAAATATATATCTTATCAACTCTCTTTTCAGCTAAGTTCTAATCAATTATTTAGGTAAAATTTAAATTATACAATCATTATTCCAACATTATTAACTTATTAAAAACTAAATAATCACTTGAAGTCTCTTAAAACTAAAACTACATCAAACCGTAGGTTTTTTATCATCAAGAAATCAAAAACGAAAGAAAGTATGTGATTAAAAAAAATATTTAGAACATTTATATAGTCTGAAAACGTTTGAAATCATACTCAAGGTATTTATTATGGAACCCCATCTTTAAAATTTTGCTCACTCTCTGTCTTAGTTTATCATCATGCACTGAGTGAGAGGAAGACAGGAAGAAAGAAAGAGGAAGTGATGCGTGCAGAAAAAGAAATGGGATTGAAATAATAAAATAAGTTAATTGGCTCCACATTTTGATATGCATTCTCTCTTTCCTCTTTGTTTTTTTTTTCAAATCTTCTTCGTTCTTTTCTTTTCAAAAATTAATAATCTATAAACCCTCCCCCCACACACATATTATGCAATTTTTATAGTACTTTCTTAACATCTTAAAAATTAAACTCTACTAGTGTATTTTAATAAACACAATTTCTTTAATATTTATATGATTATAAATTTTTTATTTAGATTTGAAGAGTAAAAATAGAGATGTTATAATAACTTTGTGTCATTCATAATATCCTGATTGACAATTTTAGAGATCCATGATAATTTAGCATCACTCATGGTATAACCTAAAATATGTTAGCAATTTTATTATTTTTACTTATGATGATTTAGTATCACTCAGAACATCTCATTTAATGATTTTAGAGATTTATGGTGATTTGTTCGGTTAATCCAAGCGTCTAATGTTGTATTAGACATTAACATTTCAATTTCAATTGATTAGGGACTTCAATTGATTATTTAGTCTTTAACGAAGTTAATGATATTAGAATAATGATTGTATAATTTAAATTTTGCCTAGATAATTGATTAGAACTTGGCTGAAAAGAGAGGAGATGAGATGTGTATTTAATTTTTTTAAAATTAATCTATGTCTGACAAAAAAAAATGGCTGAAGAGAGAGATGATAGGTCAGATAATTTTTGTTTTATATTAAATAGAACTTGGCTTGAGATTCTATGTACGTTTTTGACAAAAAAAAAATTGAAACTCGGTGCTAATCAAGCCAACTTTTAAATTTGTAGTATTCAGGTAAATATTATTGAAAGTGTAGTATTGTGAGAAATAATTTTTTTTTTTATAGTATGAAAGCCAATTTGCCGGTTGAACGGTTATACTCCTTTTATTTTAAATATAAACAGTTTTTCCAACTAATTTTAATTCAGAATATAAATAATTTAATATATATATATATATATGTCATTATATGCCTTATATTTATTAACTTAAATATTTATATAAATGTAATCTCTCAGTCATCAGAGAGTATATTGATAATTAAGATTAAGAGTAAAAATATATATATATATATATATATGTTTGTGATAATAGAGATTTTATTGGTATACAAATTACTTTTAAAAACCGCTTATATTTTAAATAAAAGGGAGTAGTATAGATGGAGAGTTTTTTTTTTGGGTGGTTGTGCAAAGTGCAAACTTATAGTTTATAGATCCATGCCTTTTTTGTGGTTTTTGTGGCCATCATTTCTTTTAATATTATTTGACTCAACTAGAAGACTTTTAAATAGGAATTGGCATGTTAAATGGGAAGCTAATTTTTGGCTCTGTCAGTTGGTGATCAAATTTCTGACTTTAATTCTTTTAATCACCCACTTATAGTAGAGAGGAGGTTGGTAATGTTGATTCGTAGTTCTCTACTGTTTTTATATTTTGCTGTGAAATGATATATTTCCAGTTTTAGTTATAAAAAAAAAACTTTATTCATATGCATAGAAAAAATAAGGTGTTATTGAAATAGGGACAAATATTCAAATAGCCCTAAAAATCTTAAAGTAAGAATCGTATCAAAAGTTTTTTGAAAGAAAAATACACATAATATATCTAAAAATTAAACAATCTTTTTTTAAAAGTCATTAGAGAAAAAAGTAAAAAAATGAATCCCGTGTGATTTACTCTGGACGTGATATAATGATGCTGATGAAAGCGATGATTTGTTTTTTATGATCATATTGATTATTGATGCTGACACGAGACAAGAAAAAGTAAAAGCGACGACCGGAGGGGAAAGGCACGCGACGACCTTACTTGGCCTGTCACCTGGCCAGTGGCCACTTGTTCGATCCTTCTTTCGCATTGGATTCTTTTAACGCAAACAAATATTATATAAATTATAATATGCCATTTTGTATGCAATTTGAGAGCATCCGTTCCCATCTCTTAATTTATTTTCTCCAAATGGAAGAGAACAAGAAAAGAAACACGCTTGCAGAGCTGAAGGCCTCCAGCGTAGACTATCCCTTACATAAAATGTTGCTTTAGTCAATTTGAAATCAAGTTGCAGCTACAATCCAAACAGGATTGAAATTAGTTTGCTTTCACTTGCAATTAATAAACACACATACAAACACACAGATACTCGTTTACCTTTCAAGGTTCATAGAGCTACAACCACTGTTTCCATCGGATTCAATCATACCAAAAGGAAGAAAAGGATCATGATAACGAGATTCATCATCAAGTAATATGAGAGCTGTCATTGTCGTTCTGTTCTCTTTCACTGGCTGGTTGCTGTGTTTTTCTCAGCTACATCTGGCTCAAGATACTTTAGAGCCTGGCGAAGAGATTACTGGTGATGCCACCCTTGTTTCAAAGGAAGGCAAATTTATACTGGGTTTCTTCTCCCCACGACAAGATTCAACAAAGTACTTAGGAATATGGTACAACGAGTCACAAGTACAGCCACGAACGGTGGTATGGGTTGCGAACAGGGACCCCCTGTTCCAGACTCCATGGCATCTTTTCAAATCGCAGACGATGGAAACCTCCGAGTATCAGACTCCAATGGAAAAGGCTACTGGTCTTCCGGGCTCGAGGGATCTTCATCCTTAAACCGTACAGTGAAGCTTATGGACTCAGGAAACCTGGTACTCATAGATGACGAGGTCAGAACAAATAATCGCTGGCAGAGCTTTGAACATCCAACGGACACATTTCTGCCTTCCATGAAAATGGATAAAAACATGAACTTGACATCTTGGAGAAGCTCTGATGACCCATCCCCGGGGAACTACACCTTTCAGCTTGCTCAAACAGGGAGCAACAGCTTTACAATTTGGAAAAATCAGCGCCAACTTTTCTGGAAACCTTCAGAGCCAATCCCCCTGTCATTATTGAGATTGTTGACAAACTCCTCTCAGCAACAGCCGTTGACTGATCATCCAAGGCTAGTCATGAACTATACAGGGAAGATCGAATTGCAGAGGTACAACGATGATAATCTCGAAAGTGGATGGTCAGCGGCGTTTAGCGAACCTACAGAGTGCAAAATATACAATGCGTGTGGGAGTTTTAGCATCTGCAATGATCAGAATCGCCCTGTCTGTAAGTGTTTGCCCGGATTCGATCCTTTGCCAACTAAAAATTCCTCCGGAGAACAGGATAATGGGTGTGTCAGAAAATCTACATCGTGTGGAGGAAAAGACATTACATTTTTAAACTTGACGATGGTTGAAGTGGGAAGCTCGGGTAAACCAGTTGCAGCAGGAAATGAAGCAGAGTGCCAATCTGTGTGTCTCAACGACTGCTCTCGATGCCAGGCTTATTCGTATAATACTAGATTATCGGTTCGGAATCCTGTTTGCTTGATCTGGACTCAGGATTTACCTACTCTTACAGAAGATTCCCCTAAATATGGCATTTCTCTTTCCGTCCGCCTACAGGTTTCAGACATGGGTCAGATTTCCACCCCCCCTTTTTTTTCCGGCCTGAAGATATTTTTTTTTTTAAAAAAATTATAGCAGTGTTTATGTGGTATGATGTTCCACGATTACTTCGATAATCGAGGTTCAAATTAAAAAGGACGCAGTTACCGTGTGCTTCAATCACCGTCAAATATTAAATATATAGTTTTACTTTTCCTTCTTTTTCTTTCCTTGTTTCCAAACGATGTATGATTTACAAACACCAAAAACTAAAATGGAATGTTCATCAATTGTATTAATTTATGCAGCATCAATTGCCAAAACCTGTGAACCTTGCGGCACAACAATAATTCCATATCCACTAAGCACTGGGCAAGATTGTGGGGATCCCTTGTACTTCAAGCTCAAATGCGACAACACAACAAAAACAGGCGAGGTTAGCTTCAATATGTCTGAACTTGGGCTTCTTCGGGTGTCTAAAATAGACTCAGATAATCGGAAGTTGCGAATCCAAACTAATGAGTTCAACTTCTGTGATGGCAAAGATCAAAGACAAAAGGTTAAGGTTGACTTACCCTTTAACGTAACCGACTGGTGCTTTGGTATAAAGGAAATAGAGGTTAGTTGGTTACCACCATCAGAACCTCTCTGCCATAGCATGACAGACTGCAACGACTGGCCGCATTCGACCTGCAACAATGATTCGAAAGATGGAAAACCAAGGTGCCTTTGTAATACGAACTATTACTGGAACAATTCAACTTTAAATTGCACCCCAGGTACTTACCTTTTATAATATTACGTACCTCCGGCAGCGTATTTGCTGGTCCTAATTTTTTTAACATTTCGATCGTTACCAATTCTCTTTTACAGGTGTCCTTTCCACCTTACACGAGCCATCTGGAAGAAGAAAATCACTCACAGTAATTATTGTGGCAACTCTCTTAAGCGTGGCTTTCATAACTTGCATGGTTGTTTTTGCTTATCTATGGAAAAAGAGAATAGCACGAAAGAAAGGTAATATTTTTAGTTATGCATTATGAATTGCTTGCTAACTCTTTCTCTGCAAGCAACACAATCAATAATATACATTTCTCTTCTTGTTACTAAGAAAGGGGAAGAGTTCAGAGAAATCGAGGGCGGATGTATGACAGTGGGAGACAAGTGAAAGATTTGATATACTTGGAAGAGCTAGAAGAAAAAGACAACGAAGGCATAGAGGTACCGCAGTATGATTTTGAAACCATACTGGCTGCTACAGATAACTTTTCAGATGCCAACAAGCTAGGACGAGGAGGTTACGGACCTGTTTACAAGGTAATTGACACATATTGCTTGCTAGCTTAATTTCGAATGATGGCTTATGGAGATATATTCTTTTTCTTTAGGGTATATTATCCGGCGAACAGCATATAGCAGTAAAGAGGCTTTCAAATGTTTCATCGCAAGGTTTGAAGGAATTCAAGAATGAAGTTGTTTTGATATCGAAGCTACAGCATCGAAACCTTGTCAGACTTCGGGGCTACTGCATGACGGGAGAGGAAAAAATCTTACTTTACGAATACATGCCAAATAAGAGTTTAGACGCATTCTTGTTCGGTTAGTTTTCAAATGCATTAATTTAAACTAGACTTAATAATGTTCATTTTCTCAATGAATAAGCTTTATAATATTCAGTCTGGATTTAAATCTGATTTAGGAAGAAACATAATGCACGAACCATGTCAACTAAAAACATAATGATTTTAATTTAAAAGTAAAATGAAAACAGAAAACAAATTTGGATGAGCATGCGCTCATCACCTACTTAGATGTAGATGAGCAACCAGTGCCCATCTTCTTAAATGGTCAAAAATCAAACCCAAATTCTTAATGCTTTCAATGCATAACAAAGGCTCAAAGAACTTGCGAAAAATGAAAATATTGATGCAGATCGTACGCGAAATCTGATATTAGATTGGCAGTTGCGGTTTAACATAATTCTAGGAGTTGCTCGAGGAATGTTATATCTTCATCAAGATTCTAGATTGAGAGTTATTCATAGAGATTTAAAAACCAGCAACATTCTTCTAGACGAGGAGATGCAACCAAAAATTTCAGACTTTGGTTTGGCTAGAATATTTGGAAACAAAGAAATTGAGGCTAACACTGAGAGAATAGTTGGAACTTAGTAAGTTCAAAATTTCTATTTGATTATAATAGAATTGAACCTTGATTCATTTATGAAATAAGTTACATTTTTCTTTTGTTTTTTTAACTTTTATTTTACAGTGGATATATGGCTCCAGAATATGCATTGGATGGATTATTCTCAATCAAATCAGATGTTTTTAGTTTTGGTGTAGTAATTCTTGAAATAATCAGTGGAAAGAAAAATACAGGATTCTTTCAATCCAAACAAGCTTCCAGCCTTTTAGGTTATGTATGTACCTTCTTATTCTCTCTCTCAGCATCTTTGATCGTTTGCATTATGGTGATTCATTGATGGATCTATGTTGTGAAGAATGGGGACAATTACCCCCACTACTTTGCCTCCCATTCCTTAATAATTTTTTGAAAAAATATAATCTTTGATCTTTATAACTTCATCAAATTTTGTTTTTAGTTTGTATAGTTTTTTTAATATTTTCAACTCCTGTAATTTTAGAAAGATTGTGTGATTTTATTTTTCAATTCAAACAAAACTCTATAAAACTATAAGGATTAACGATTATATTTTTTCTCAATAACGTGTGGGTGTGGGTGTGTTGCCAATTGAGAGTGCCTGAATTCGATTTGTGGCTTGACATGTGAAAGCAAAACACTGTCACCCCCCAAGCCACAAGGTTTGCGTGGGCGGGCGTGTTAATTGTCTCTAATAGACTTAGTGATATTATTCATGATTAATTATCTATTTTATACACCAAATATTTATATTTTAACATTTTTATTTAATAATTGATTTTGATTGATTTGAGTAATTGAAAGGCCACACACAGTTGTATAAAAAGCTTGTAAAAATGGGAAGTATATTTGTATATGTCTATTGGCATGTTTGCAATTAGCCTTAATTTAACCATGGCAATGACAATAGTGGAAAGAGATTTCTGTGTTGTAAATTTGATGAAGAGTCAAAGACGAACAATTGTTTGCTTGGCTATACATAGAGAGAGGGGCAGAAATGTCTATTGTGTTAAAAATGAAAAAAAACATCGAACTTCACCAAAACATGAAAATCATATGGAACAATTACGCTGTATATCTATAATTTAATTTCAATGATAGGTTGTTATTTACATATGTTGTTGTCACTATGCATGAAATTGTTTTACGTGAATGAATATGCAGGCGTGGAGACTATGGACAGAGAACAAGTTGATGGATTTAATGGACCGGTCTTTGAATGAAAGTTGCAATGCACACCAATTCGTAAAGTGTGCACAAATGAGCCTATTGTGCGTGCAAGATGAACCAAGAGACAGGCCCACCATGTCACAGGCAGTGATAATGCTTGAAAGCGAGATTACAAGCCTGCCAACTCCAAAGCAACCATCTTTCTTTATCACAAGAGGCTTTTCTGGCTCAGCTTCTTCTTCCAGCAAACCTGAAGGAATTCTTTCAACCGAGAGCACCTACCAAGAAGGTCGTTAGTGCCTCCTATGAATATACACAACTGTGAAGGCTTGTCCAAGCTCCTCCACCTCCTCTTCACTTCACTTCTCATCCCATTCGTTAGGTTAAATCTGGACCCTTTGAATTTATTATTTTGTAAGGTTGTTGGTAAAATATGGAAACAAATTTTGATGTCAACAGATTAGGACTATAGTAAAAGAAAGAAAGAATATCTATTTTATAAAATATTTGAGTGGTTGAAATTTATTCTAATAAGTGAGGCTTAAAGTCCATATAATTTGGGGGTAACATCATGTCCCTCTTCATTGATATTTTTATTGATTTTTTTGTTGTGAAATTAAAAGGTAGTAAAATAATTTAGCTTTTTTCCAGAATAAGGAAATTATTGAAATTTGATGGTGGATCTACTGGTATCATTTAATTTTTGGTTTAGAAATAAATGCCATATTGAGACGAACTTATTTTTAGCCAAAAAAATAAAATTAAAATGATTCCAAACAGAAAAAAAAATATTAAGTAAAACTTTAATAACATGTTTGGATACCGCATTTGGATTTAGCTTTCAACATTTACACAAAAAAGTCAAGACAACCTTTGTGAGAAGGAGAAATTGATGGCTTTTGCTGAAAGTACTATTAAAATGTAATTTGAAGACGCTCATAATTTTACACTACCTTTATCAGCCAACACCTTGTACCTTTAAGAGGGCTAGGCTTCACACGTTGCTTTATGATAATTTAATTTTGAAAGAGTAATCATCTATGCTGTGCTGGGCTCACAAGATAATGCAGGGAGAGTAGAAAATGTGAGGAGACAAAATGAAGAGAAGAAAAAATTGAATGGATGTAATTTTCTCGCTATATGCCTGGGCGAGCAAGAAAAAATGAGAGGATGATAAAATTATTAATTTTATATAAATAATAATAACACTATTATTATAGAAAGATATTTATATCTAATACAATTTAATATTTTAACATATTTTTATATAATTTTTATTATAAATTGTTCACTAAATAAAATAAAATAAGGTAAAAAATGGAGGGAGGCAACTAGCAATAAATGAAGACTTGTGAGTGAATATAAAAATTTACTTTTCTCTCTAAAATCTTTTCATATTTGAAAAGAGAAATCAGAAATAAAAATATGTGAGTCTCACGTATTATATTCCTCCAAATTTATTCTTCCTCTTATTTTTCTCACTTTATCCAAACAAAAAAAAAAGTTATTTTTTTTACACCTCTTTCTTCTCCTTGCTTTTCTCTTTTGCTAGCCCTAATACGGTTACAAAAGGTCATTTTGAACCTCATTCAATTCAGAAAACTTAACAAAATGAAATGATTTAAAATGGCAAGGTATGATGGGTAACTAGTGAGACTATGAAAACTACAATTTCACGCAGCCTTCACACCTTTTGTAGCTGAGGAAGTGTTAATTGTCTGATTGTAAATAGACCTTAAAGGATATACAAAGTCTCTCGTTGAATAAAATTAAATTTAATAATTAATATTAAATAAAAAGAATACATACAAGTTTCATATAAGGAAATTCACTACTATAGGATTATTTTATTAATGGCCTTAGTTCAATTACTAATAAATCTTGAAATAGTTCATTTTTTATATGAAATTTTAATGTAATTCCCCCAAATAAAAAAGGAAGAATAATATTTTTTATCATTTTAAATATTTTTTTTCTAATTTCTATTTTTCTTCCCATACAAGGATGAATTATTTTAATTTTTATTATTGTGTATTCATAAGCCATGCTTGATTGAATCGAAGACCTTGTTAGTAAACCGGACTCAAGCCACGCCATAGATTATGGGACATTATGTGATGGAATTGGGTGTTGTAATTGGGCTTTGCAGTTTGCACGAAGTCTTGGATATGATAGTGTCATGGAAACGGAAATTTCAGCCATCAAGGTTGGGATGGGCTCCAGATCTGTAAAACAAAAGGGTTACAAGAAAATCCAAATCTCTTCGGATTCCATGGAAGCGATTGCTTCCGTTTATAGGAGAGATACCACCCGTCACATCGCAAAGGAGGATAGAGTTGAAAATAAAAATTGAGTTTAAAAGTTTTATTTAAATAAAAATTCAGACTTTATAAATTAATTTTTTTTAAAGTAACTGAGCTTTCAAGTCCAACACTAATAAATCCTATAAAAAAGGGCTTAAGATCGAGCAGCTCTTAAAACGTTGTTATATTATTATTAATTTTTTTTTGATAGAACACGTATTTAAAATCAAGAAGGACTTGCTCACCTGAAGCTCCTGCACACTTTATATTATTATTAATTTTACTTTATTTTAAAATTAATTTAATATAATTTAATAAATATTAGTGTATAATATAAAATTTTTAATATTTTTTATTTTTTTATAATTATTATATTTGTGTATTTATAAAAATAAATTTTTTTAATCAATTAAATTTTTTTACTAGACTTCTAAATATGTGTTGTTTAATCTCCAGAAAATTATAAATTTATTTTAATTTTAAAATATTTTAATTACTTTATAATGTAATTTTATTTTAAATTTTTTAAAATAAAACTTAAGGGTCAACCTTAAACTCTTTAAATAAAAATTAAATTTTAAAAAAAGAATGAAAAAATGAAAAATCCAACCCAGGCTCATAAGAATCGAGAGCCCGTCTGTTTTTCAACTGTAATCAAGGGGGTCCAAGTGATCAGAAGTTCAGGACTCCCCTCGTGGAAGTTTGGGGAGCCGAAGTAACTCACTGGACACGACTGCACGAGACTCCCCGCAATTTATATCTAAATTGCATTACACTGGACAACACTCGCCGCATATTTTTGTTAAATCCCCTGATAGGATCCAGCAGCTTCTGTTGCTCGATTTTGGCCTGAGGCCTCCATGCCTTACTCTTAGACCTTTTATTTCTCAAGCTATCTTGTACTATTTTAGGTCTTATGTATTCAAAAAAAAACAGAAAGAAAAAAAAAACTAATATTTGGCTGTTATAAAATAATTTAAAACTTAATTGCTTTACTTTATATACTTAATATATTTAAGATAAATAAATTTTACTGTGTTAATAATATTAATAACAAGAATTTGTTATAAAATAAATAATTTATAAAAAATTTACAAGTCTTGATTTAATTAAAAGCAAATATCTCAAATATATAGAAATAGTAAATAAGTTTTTTTAAAAAAAAATATTATGATCCCAGGAGCATTAAATATCTTTTCTCACACACCACTAATCTAATTACAAAGCATAATGTCCCTTCCAAAAGATGGAAACGATAATGACTCCGAAGTGGGCGGCGGCACAATAACTCAAACGTACTATAATTAACTGGAGGGTGATAGTAAATACAAACCCTCAAAAAATATCAAGTATTTTTTACGACTGAACTTTGAGAAACTTACAATTTTAAAGTCTTTATATTATTTTTTTTAAAGGTTTTCAATTATATATGATTCTCCTTGACTAAGATGGACGTGGTAACAGTTAAAAAAACAAAACAACGAAATCACTGGGACTTATATAATTTTTGTCACAATCAAGATGTTTTTTGTTGAATCTTCGAGATTTTATGATATTTAAATGTAAATGAATCTTGTAATGTTTAATTATATCGCAAGATGCCTTTGCCCAATTCTCCTGAAATTATATTTGAAAGAATCTCACCTAAGGCTTCCAAGGAAGAAAACATTACAAATAGGGCCCAATACATTTTGAAATTATTCTATAGGCTTAAAGGTTTTTTTAACAAATAAGTTTTGAGAAAAAAAGATACAATTGTCTTAGTGAGGCAAAAAAATTTTACATTTACTATAAATAAATAATTACCTGTTGCATGTAAATTTAAAGTTGAAATTTGTGAGCATTTAGTTATAAAAATCTAAACTTGTTATGAAAAAAGAATTTCAATATCAATGAACAATTATTTATTAATATGTGAATATAAATTTGTGAGTTGGTGAAAATGTAGTTGAAAAAAATTTAAACTTACTATCGATGAACCTTGTCTTTAAATATATAAAATTATAAATTCTAAACCTTGACTTATGAATAGATGACCATGTATTTGTAAATATTTAAAGTTTAAATTGTAAATTTATTAAATTGGCTAAGACGAACACGTTAACTCTAAACAAAATTTCATTCATAATAGATAATTACCTATTAATATGTAAACTTAGAGTTGTGAATTCGTCAACATGCAATTGTAAAAATTTAAACTTGTACTTGTTGTCTTTTCTCATAGAGGATTATTGTGTCTTTTCCCCCTAAAACATATTTGCCAAAAAAAAAAATCGTTGGACAAGTAAAATACTTTTAGAATACTCCTTCAATCCTATATATATTAATTACTTTTTAGAAGCATAATCTGATTCACTTTGTAAGTCATTAATTGATGAGATTGTTTTGTTTGAAATTGAAATTTCCAAACTATCTTTAAAAAGTAAGAGCAAGACGGATAAAAAAATTAATATTATATTGTTCATTTATCTTTTAATTTTACTTGAAATTTATATTTAAAATTTTAATTATTTTATTTTTATATTTTTATTATATTAATATTAATAAAATTGATAAAAATAATTTATAAAAAAATTGAGAGGAGTATATTGGATGGCCGGATGAGATTCTCCCATTATATTATTCTTGGTGCAAAATTTCTCTGCCCTGAGACACGAATAAACATATGCATGTCATGCATGTTATGTACCACAAAAAAAAAAAAAACGCATGCATGTCACGGGAATCAGGCAAAAGACAAAGATCATCGAAAAGTTGAACAAATCATAACTGATATGGGCTTCTATCAAGAATGAATATTTTAAATAACAATAGACTTTGATTTGAGTCTAAATGGCATCCTCCAAAGGAAGGATGGTAGGCTTGATGTTGACGGTTCTATTAACTCTCTCGGAGTTGCAACTTGTGGTGGAGTCATCCACGATGAAAAAGGAAATTAGATTATCGATTTCTCTAAATTTCTTGGATATCAACCCTGTACTACAGCTGAATTATCAGCATTTTAGAAGGTCTTTAGATTGGTTGGAATGCTAACCTTACCAAGATTAACTTATACACTGACTTTATGGAAGCCTTTTCTCTTATTCAACATAATTTCTCTGATAGCCATCCTTTGCGGCAACCATCAAGAAAATAAGGGAGCTTATTATAAGAAGCTGGATGATTACTTTTGACCACGTTTTTAGAGAGGCAAACAATTGTGCTGATATGCTCGCACGGGAATCTTTGCATGACCACTACGATCTCTCTATCT